GAGAGAGAGAGAGAGAGAGAGAGAGAGAGAGAGAGAGAGAGAGAGTTCATAACGAGAGGAACGGGGGCTGCTGAGTGGGAGGTCCCCTTCTGATTTTGTATGTTATGTTCATATCGAGATTTTACATTTTCTTCTTTTATAACACTTCACATAAATAATAAAAGAACACTTTTTGGCCTGTCAATGTATATTTATCTTGTTGCAACTTAAGAAGTTCAGATGTGGAACATTCTTTGTGTTTATATGTGGCATATCTAGGAACATAATAATCATGTTGTTCTAACTTAGCTAATCCTGCCCTTTTTTATGTTTGAATTGGATTTTTGTTGTATGAAAGCTGTGAATCATGGATATTTCATAATCCATGCCATCATGTAATCAAGACATATCAATTACTGATGTTCATTGGATTCTACATAGAAATGTATGTCGGATGCTTTGCTGAAGTTTTTTTAGTTAATAATTATAAAGAATTCAATACAGAAATAACCATAGATATTATCATACAAGAGTATGTTTAGAATCTGTGAAATGCAATTATATGTGAGCAATAAATTTTGTCATCATTTTAAGGGTGTATTATACCCTGTTATTTCAAGTCTTGCATTTGTGTGTGCCAATAATTACATATGCCTATCATTGCTTCATGACTCAAGTAAGAAGGCCTCAGTTCATTGCAACATGTAGAAGGGTTGAGAAAAGAAAGAGCAGGGGCATAAGAGAAGATATAGTGCAACGAGTAGATTTCTGTACAGTTATTTTCCCCTTGTTTTTAGTTGGGTAGAGTTTTAAAGAAAATATTTAGTGAATTAATCAGTCATTTCAGCTATCAGTTTTCTGGAAAACAATATGGAGCTTTAAGCAGTTCTTTTTACTGGACTGCCAACGTATGCATATAAGACAACAGACATGATCATGGTGTTGCACAGCATTGTCATTGTGTATATTTTGATATATATATCATCTGTTAATAGAATCATGTCTTCTCAATACAGTTTAAACCAGAAGAGATTACTGCAATCATGACCGACTTTGATGAGCCAGGGTCTCTTGCACCAACTGGGTTATATCTTGGTGGGACAAAGTACATGGTAATCCAAGGCGAGCCAGGTGCTGTTATTCGAGGGAAGAAGGTCAGTGGTCTATGTCATTCATGAGCTGAAATGCATTTTTGAATATCTAATTTACATTTATGTTTCTAATATGACCTATATACTTGCTCTGAAATGCCATTAAGAAGCCGCATAAACAGAAGTTTGAAAATT